CCCCCTCCTCCCCAATAAATGGATTCTGTGCAAATTATTAGGGTACAAATGGATGTCCATATTCCCATGTACCAATTTTCATAATGTTATTCATTCTTGTCCAAAGTAGCGAACCAAATATGGCCCAAAAGATGTAAGTGGGTTCATGAGAGCTAAATATCTTTGTGATAAGCAGTTGAAATCTGATTCTTCGGTGGCTATTTTGGGGTTGAATGGAAACTCTTATATGATTCCTTGTTCTTGTAGATGATATTGATTTTGTTTACTCTTTTCTGGATACTGTTATTTTTTGTCATATTGGTAGGAGCTTAAATATTTTAGTACACTCCCTACCTTCTTGAAGCAAGTCATTTGATCAGGAGGTTATTTGGGTTTCTCCTTTTTTTGGACTAATCTGGTTGTAATCCTTTGCCGTTTGTTAATATTAAATGTTTTTTTTTCTAAAAATCTAAGTGCGGTCATATGTTAGGAAGCTTTAAAACAGCCCTACTAGCCAGATTTTTCACTTTTGGTGTCCTTCAAATATAGGTTTTTCTGCCTACGGGGTGCAAATTGGGCCTATTACTCCTGCCTAGATTGAGCCTGAGGTCAAATCCAATCTGTCCAATCCATACCCAGCATACACTGAAATTTGATGTAATTGAGTTGGATTTCCGCCTAGGCCGAGCTCAGATTGGTCATTTAGCCTATACTAAATTTTGACATAAATGTGCATATGCATATATATGTATGCATGGTGAAGCCTGGCTGAGATTAGGTTTGGGCTTCAGCTATCCTAAGGGCTAGGGCCAAGAGAGCCCAATAAATAAAATTCCCAATTAGTTCCAAGGTTGTTGACATTGATGATAAAATCATAGAGAACTATGTTCCTAGGGTTGTTAAAACTTAAAAGTCTTATGGTTCTTTCTTGTGCTTGGTGATCGGAATCACCACTACCTACATTAATAACATTAATATTAAATTAAAATTAATATATGATGAGGTGTATTATTAAAAAATGTATTAGTAATTAATTAACTTATAAATTGGGGAATTAAAATTACAAGTACTTAACCTAAATAAATTAAGGTGGCGTTTGGTAAACCTAAAAATTAAGATCTAAATAGTTAAAAAGATATTAAAAGTGTCTGAAATCTAAAAAGAAGCATAGATGCTTTTTTACTTTTTAAGAGGCTCTGAATTCATAAGTTTATTATTATTTGAAATTACCGATTTTATTATTTTACCCCTAGAACATATTATTTGCAAGTGTTGAGATCAATTTACATTATCTCATAAAAAATAATTAATAAATGAAATGATTAAAAATAAAAAAAAAATTAATAATTTAAAAATATTAAAATAACTGATAATTAATAATTTATACAAATAAAAATAAAATAATTTTTAAAAATTAATGTAATAATTAAAAATTATCATTTAATAAAAATAATTAATATTAGTAATGTTTAATAAAAATTAATTATTAAATATTAATAATTAATAAAAAATAATTAATAATAAAAATAATTAACTGCCGCTAAGTTACAGCGGCGGTGGCGGTGGCGAGAAGATAGGAGAGAGAGAGAGAGAAAGAAGAGAGACTGAGAGCGGCAATGGCGGTGGCGAGGAGAGAGAGCGAGCGAGAGAGAGCAAGCGAGAGAGAGCGGTGGAACCGCAACCGCTGCAAGCTGCAACGGCGGTGGCGGTGGCGAGAAGATAGGAGGGAGAGAGAGAGAGAGAGCGAGCGAGTGAGAAGAGAGAGAGAGAGCAAAAGAGAGCGAGAGCGAGAAGAGACAGTTATGGTTATTCATGCCTAACATCTTGATATAATTAATTTTAATTTTTGTCAATAAAAGCCATAATCTTAAATCAGGGGCTCTTCTAAAAACAAGTTAATATTCACCTGAACATGAAAGCTAAGGAATTTACACTGATAATTATAAAAACGTTCTTTACATCAAGGGTTATCATTACATGTGGTGCCTTAGCTGGAATTTACACTGCTAGATGGCAATAGAGAAGGAAAAAAATAATGCAATTTAAAAATTTAAGGCCATTGCAACTGTACAACTCTGGCCTTTTTTTTTCGTTTTATTGATTTCTGAATGAACAATGCATCTTTGCATTTACCCTTGATACAATTGATATAGAGAAAAAAAAAAAAAAAGGAAGGAAAGAAGCAACCAAGAGGAGAGATCCTGCGCCAGTATGCTGGAAACCAGGAGAACAAAAGCTCATGCAAGACCCAGCTTAAACAAAATTCTCCATTTCCCTCGTTTCATTGATAGAACTCCAAAACCCAGCCTCATTGATGCCTCCTTTTCTCTCAACGGATGCTCAAGCTCCTGTAATAATTTCAAGGTCAAGGTCTGATTCTGAATATTTAATAACATTTATCATGTGGGTCTCTGTATTACTGGCAAAAGGGAAATCCTAGTTTAGCTTTCCTGCTGTTGGGATATACATGAAAACTTTGGCATGGTTGCCACAGTGTACATATAAAATCATGTCTGAATTTTCTGGTGCAATTTACCTATTAGCATGGATTCATTCAATATAAGTAACAACTAACAAACTAGAATAACGTTTCTTTAATCAAAATGAATTTTAATTTTTAAGAGATTTGATGACATAAAATGCAATATGGAAGGAAAAAAGAAAAATAGATCTATACTCTATACTGACAGGTTGTGTTGTGTACCTGCTAGTGTTGGCTCGATGCCCAGTTTCAGATATCCGCCCACCAGTCCCACACTGAATCTGCTGCTTCCCCACAAGCTGTTGTAATTTCTCTTTGCTAGTATGTGACACCTAGAAGTTGGATTTTTTGAGATTGAAGAAATTAGCTGACAAGAAATAAAGAAAGCAGGTAGACAAGAAAGAATACTTTCTTATAAGGAAATCTTGTTTTAAGAAACCTAGAAGACTAGAAAATGATATCCATTGGAAACTGATAGAAACTTTCATACTAGCTTACCCCATGTTCTGTTTGGGAAGGGCCCACTATATTCTCTTTCAAGCCCTTAAGTCAAATAAGAGAAAAATGTCAATATGGCAAAAAATATGAAAATTCAGGGTGACTATGCACTTAATGGAATCCGGAAGTTGCTATACTTTCCAAAAGTTATTAACAAGCACAAAGAAAACCTTGGTAGGTATAGAAGTATTCTGAGGGAATTTCTGCTGTGGTACAGTATTCTGCTGCAGCTCAGATGCCAAGGACAGCTACAATTCATGAGAAAAAAGAAATCAAGATAAATAAATTACAAAGTCAATTTATAATACTTGAGAAATATATGGGAGCTTGCCAGAGAGAGAAAGAGAGATCCAGGAGTGGGAAAATAAAAAGATGATCACAGCAGATCTGGTTTTGTAAGTTTAAATTTTACCTTGCTGAATAGTTCAATCGGGGGATGATGCTGAAGCCTGTTGGCAGTCGAAAATTTGAATTCCTGTAGAGAAGTAAAACATATTATGAACAAAAACGTCTCGCAATATTCCAATTAATATTAAGTACCATAGTAGGCATCAGATATGCGCATCCATTTGATTACCATGGGTACCGTAGGCTCCTTTTTAGTATTCCGAAAGACACCAATATCTCCTTTACTTGAAAATATCTGTATTCAAATAAAACAACATCCACATTGATAACCACAAGTTTTATAAATCTAAAAACAAGATTCAGGCAGTATGTATTATCCAACCTTCTTATTAAAAGGGCGAGCTTTAAATTTGGGCTTCAATTCATTTTCCTTATCTGTGAAACCCATAGGTCTGGGCACACCAAAAGAACAGGTGTATTATTACTGACTGAAGTAAATAATCCAATACACAAACAAATAGAAGTTATATCCAAAACAACAATGCCCGCCCCCAAGAAGAAAGCGAAACACAATTTATCTCAGCAACTAAAAACAATAATGTCCTATCACTAAGGGCAGGTGCTGGACAAAATACAACTGTGTCACTATTTTAACTATGGGGTGGAGAAAGACAAAGGATGGGATTTCCTTACCTATTAGAGTTAACGGTGTCATTATGCATGATGGAACAAGTGCTAGGTTTGTAGACCACCTATAATGACAAAAGCAGTAGCTTCCAAAATCAGAACAGACAATTATAGCCTTATAGGGGTTGGAAAATAAGGCATTAAATTGCTGCAAATTGACCATTACTTTATTTATTTATTAAGAATCCTAACTTAGTGAAGAACTATCAGTGTTCAACAATGACATAAAAATATTCTTTACATTATTGATAGGATAAAGCTAAAGAGTTAGTAGCCCACCTTAACCGATTTGTTTTTAGGAAGTGAGGATGCAGCAGCCCTTTCGGATGTCTTTAAATGAAACTCCTAAGAAGGAATGTGAAAATAATTTAATAGATTAGTTATTCTGGGATTAGCTGTATCCCTGATACAACAATATAATATTGAAAATATAAAATAGAGAAGCAATGAAAACAAATGTTAATTATGTATCTTAATTACTTGAAACTCTGGCAATCGTGGTGTGCTCTTTTGAGGGCGTAGCAACGATGGAGCCTCGAGAATCTGCAAGACAATATATTTGCATGTATTGAAGAAAGAGGAAAATAGTGAAAGCCCACAATCTTTCAAGGACATGCTTTAAATGTATGTAAGCACCAACCTTTTTGTTCAAGGGACGTGCTTTAAATGTATGTCCCATTGGCTTTACACTTTCCCCTGATACTATATTGCTTTTGGGCCTGAAATGCATGTTTCAATCAAGCATTTGTTAGAAAAAAATCATGCTTGTAGGCCAAAGCAATAAAAAAAAAAACCCAATGCTAAGCTGACAAGAAACAAGCATACCTTATCCTTTGTGCCCTGTGAGCTGTTTTGAGCTCTGGCTCTCGTGGAATAGTGACCTTTAGTTTACCATGCATCAAATTACCATCAACAGGTCAATCATGCATGAAAATCCATAAACTGATAAAAATAGAAACTACTAATTCAAACAGCAACAATATACAGAAAAAGAAATGCTGAAGGACAAGCTGTAGAAAAAATAGCAATAGATGAACATTTATAAAATATCCCGTTTCTAGAGACAGATGGCTCACCTTTTTAGATACCTTGTGCATCAGATTAACTTGTTGTTTTATTTCGCTTACCTGCTTTGCAGAACAAATACCTACTTAGAGTCTTTTCTGCAAAAGAACTATGAAACTATTCAATTCTAACACATGCCCCCACTGTAAACTACCAACCCATCTCACTTAGATAACAAATGGAACACATACTAGAAAATAACATAACGTAGATAGTAAGCAAGTTTCACTCAAAAAACATGAAAACAAGACAAACCTTAAAAGCATAAACAGATCAAAGAAGCAGTTAAATGTTACAGAAATTAATACAAAAAACTGTTTGTCAGATGATAGAATATTCAACTTTCAAATACTGTAAATTAGAGAATAAGCAATGCTACAAACTATGATGTCTAAAAGACGTAAGCATCTGAAACTTAACACCAATATATCAAAACATAAATCTAAAGCTTCAATCCTTGCAACATATAATCGTATGCTGACTTAACTTACATTGTGCTGGAACCTGGAAACCATGTCCCATAAAATCATGTTATTTTTCCTTGGGATGTAGAAAAACAAGTTCCTTTGCTACAATGTAGTTGCCGTTTACTCTTTTAATGTTAGTAAAGATAAAAAATGAAATTTTGAAACCACAAAATGACTTCATCATTGCTTCTATGGCAACCCAGTTATGAATCTACTTTTTATGCTTATCATTTCCGGTTTAGTATCCTTTTCCTTTATATGGAAGAGTTCAGGAATATGGGGCTTTGAGCTACTGTACATTGATGTCTATGCTTGTGTCAGTATAGTAACCGGTAAGTGATCGTCTAAACAATGAGCCAATCCATATATAAGAATTCAAGGCCTAAGAAAAGAGGGAAAAACAATAGCCATAACAAAATAGAAGTGAATCTGTGGAATCTAGCACACCTTACGTAAGCAACCAGCCTCAAGCTTTTGTCTTTTTGCGGCTTGACTTTCAATCCCAGTCTCTGAGATTTTCTCATTGTGTTTAACCCTTGATTTCCAAGACCTAACAATTGAAAGGAAAAAGAAAGAAAAATGGGTGAAGCAATTAAGAAGGTGGAAAAAATTCTGAGGCAGGAAATTTTGGATCTGAAAACAAACATTCCAGCACTTCAAAAAAAAAAAGCCAAAATAATGAGTAGACCCAAAAAATAAAGACCTTTCCTTCGTATTATGCAAGACTCTAACCAATTATTGCAGAGAAAGAAATAGAATGACAAAAGGCAGGTGGTCTAGATGTTTAAATGTTAATATATGTGCTATTGCTAATAATGATGCATTCAATGAAAATTAAAAACAAATTGAAACCTTTGTAAAAATCGGTTACCACCGACTTCTCGTGGTTGATTTTGCTTGGCCAGATGACTTGCTGTAGGTTTCATCAAAGTTGAGGACCTAGGGACGGCAGCCTTGCTAGCAGGCTTTGTTTTAGCTTTTGTACTTTCTTGGGCCATGTGATCATAAAGTGTCACTCCTACAAAGTAAAAAAAGAACATGGACCAAGAGCAACATGAATTTACGTCTCTACATGAAGAGAAAAAAGAGCATGAAAAGTTAGTTAAACTGATGATAATGCTCTGAATGCAGCTCAAGTGACTTTCTACGAAAGGTAAAAATTGTACAAGGAAACTAGAAACTAACAACTTTAGAATGGATGATAGAGCTGAAAAACCTAGACTCTGATATTATGTGAGATTCCTACTCAAGAGCAATCCCATCAAATCAAGGATGTCAGTGAGATAGGGAAAGAGAAGCAACCTGTGGTTAACCCTTCTTCATCTTGAGCATTGTGTAATTTCTCATTAGGTAAGCTGAATAAGGATTCTCTATCAATGCCTTCATAAACATACAGATATAAGATCATCAGAAAGCAATTTTGGGTTTTGGGATTGTATAAAGACAGATTCTCTTTAAAAATAACCCCTGTTGTGTCAACCCTTCAGAAGTATCGGTAGTACAAAGCATGCAGAAAAAACAGATGCACATGAGCTGTCTGCGGATTTGAATTCAACCAACCTAGTCAGGGTAAGCCCTTCCAACTATGGGACTATCTTAGTTAGAGGAGAAAGGGAAACACATCAGTACCAATAAAATCTCAGAACTCTTAGAGTGGCTATGAACCTAAAATGCACTTTCTATTCCTCCCACTTTACAGACTTCATCATGGTAAAAACAACTGAACAATCAACCTATAAAAATAAGCATTCTTGAAAACAGCATAAATTACTGCTTTCCAGATATCAATGTAAATCAGCAACAAGACCAACCTAAACACATAATCTTCTAAGAGCCTGCAGCATCATTATGTATCAAAAATAGGTAGATTGTGGTACAAAGCTTTCAATACATTGCCTGTGACAATTTGTAATCATGTAGTAGTAAGAAGCTTAGCTTTCAAATTGTTCCCAGTTGGGAACAGCTGTTCTTAAGCTTAAGCATCTTATAAGATAGGTTAAAGGTTTGTGTTTGTTGAGTTTTACTCCTGTTCAGGATTTTCACCAAGCATGGTTTTCATGGCTGTCTGCACCTTCATATGCATGAAAACCCAATAGCCATGTTACCTTGAAACAGTGTATCCAAACAAGGAAATGAAAAGTAACGTTTGAAATTCTTCTCTGTTTTTCAAAAAAAAAAAGAAATACAAAGCTTAGGACCACATCCAGTCTACACCTTCCAAAGCTTAAGCAATGAGTTATACAAGTTTATACACCACCAAAAATGCCAAAGAAAGAGACTGGTTAATGCCTTCTTGCATATGATCAACATAAAGGAAGCTTTCAGTTGAATATATGCCCTTTGCTCATATAGATAATATGGTGTTAAATTTCACAATATTTTAAATTATTAATATATTGGAACTTGTCCAAATATGTGTCTCATATCTGATTTTTCACTTTTTTGAGCCAAATCCTGGGCAAACATTGAATTCCAACTACTATGTCATTTCCATTCTATATTGGTGAGAATACCAAAGAAGACAATAGGAAAATGGAGTAATCAGTGACTGAACATGACCTGGACATATCAATGCTGTCATCACAATATCAGCATCATTTTCCACCAACAATTTTGCAGAATATAGGTTCAGGATCTTCAATTTTAAGATTTTGGTATTATGTATAATTTCTTTTTCCAAGGTATATTATATATGATATTATGCAGCTTTTTTTGGGTTTACAAACTTCCAAAATCATTAATCTGATAGTTTTTTACTGAAAAGGATTAACATATTTGTAAATTGGTCAAGATCAGACTAATACAAGAATTCTGGGCAATTAAGTTTACTAGAATTAGTTAACTACTAGGAGAAAATATAGGTAAAGTTATGCAAAAATCAAGTTTTCTATTAGACCTTTAGCCAAATTCCTTAAACCTATATTCTTTCCAAGTCTCCAGAGAAGCTTTTGTTTGTTGGAGAAGAAATTCTGTCCCTTATAAGATGATCCCTCTATAGGTAGGTATACCATGATGATGGACGTAATCCATGTACTCTCCCTAGAAGCCAATGTAAACTATTTTCTTCTTTCTCCACCCCCCCCCCTTTTCCCCTTTTCACATTTTTTTTCTGGGGGAGGGGCTAAGGAAGACCAGTTATGATCTCCCCCCTCAAACTTTTATCACTTTGGAAACTTCCATTCATTATTTCAAAAAAGAAGAGGATGGCAAGAGTATGGAGTTATTCATAATTGTTATATAAATTTTCAATGATCACGATAGAGCACATATAATAGCTTGCAAACACAATATTACAATAGAGAATAATATGGCTCTTCAAGATACTGAAATAAAACAATTTCTACAAGTGTTCACTAAAAGGTGTATGGATTGAAGTCATAATAGTCAAAGATGTTAATGATACTAATAATAACAATACCTCTATCATCTTCATTACTTGCAGAAAATTCTGAGTCTGTGCCAATATCTGAGCCACTACAGACAGAATATGTATTTCCCACGATTTTATATTTTGGAGAGTCCATATTCTCTAAAAGTATGTCTTCTGTCAAAGTGAGCTTTGCTATGAAAGCTGAAATCAGAAAATAAAAAAGGATGAAAAACAAAAGATACAATGTGAACACACTACCAGTATAGAAAGATTGTTTATCATAATAACACAAAGCAAAAAAAAAAAAAAAAGAAAATTAACAATCCACAACAGTTTTAACCGGATTAGATGAACCCCAGAATAGAAGGTGAAAATCTGAGCCTCAAAAAGAGAAAACAGTAAGAGTTGACAAGATAAATGTTGAAGCCTTGAACGTAACTTAGAAAATATTTCTCAAGAATGAAAAAAATAGTATGAATGCCCAATTCACCAATTGGACTTAGCCTGCTACTCTGTGTTCTTGTGTGTGTGTGTGTGTGTGTGTGAGAGAGAGAGAGAGAGGAAGGGCGTAGGTCATTTTTCTGTGTTCTAAAGTTCAAATCAGTGAACCCAGAAAGTATACAAGAGATGGGTCTAGCATACTATGGTGTGTGGTTGATGAGCCATTGTCCACTGCATACTGGCATATGGAGTTGAAAATCAAGATGCAACTTTAGGATCAGACAAACTAAACTAAAGGGCCCTAAACTAGCATTTAAGAGAGAGTCTTGATTGAGAAATTAAATCAAAAGAAAATGAGATTCCCAAAGAGATCAAAATTTATATTCAAGAAGCTATGCAAGACCAATAAAGAGCAAATACGTAGAAGAAGGCAACGTTCTAGGACTAAAGAAGAACCCACAGTTTTCCTTGGTCAGGCAGAAACTATCTGCATTTTCAAATACGAATGAGAAAAGAAAAACCGTGAAAAGCAACTTATACACCTTAGATATTAGCTAAAAGAAACACAAACTGCTCAAAATATTCGAACAGTGGCGGAAGAAACGCTTAAGAAGAAAAGAAACCACATTTTCACATCAAAACTCAGTTAAATGTAGCTCAATACAGCCAAAACATTCGAACAACGGAAAAGGGGACATTAAAGGGGAAAAATGCAATGCAAGAAGGAAAAGAACCAGTTTTGGACATAAAGATTGGAGAAAACATTACGAGATGGTGCATTGCTTGTAGCGGTTTCAAACCAGCGTTCCGCTTGCTGAGTTTCCTCAAGCGACTCTTTCCTACTAAAATCAAAGTACTGAGAAGCATCGAACTCGTAATCAGGATCGATTTGCAAATCCAGATATTGAACGGTATCCTCCATTTCTTCGTCCATCCCGCCTTCCAATGCGGAACCGGTCCGCATACCCTCTCTCAGGCGAAGAAATCAGAGGACATCGCCATTGATTTCTGGATGTCTTCTCTGTATAATATATATCTCGTGGGTCAGAAGAGGCTGAAGCTCTCTGATAATAAATCCGATTAAACCCTAAATCTGGAAAATACGAGGGAGAATTTCTAGCAGTAAACGGCGCGGATTTCGTTGAACACAAAGCGACATTGAAGGTGAGAAGAAATAGAGACAGAGGGGAAGAAGAGAGAACCCAAGACACAGAGAGAGAGAGAGAGGGAGAGAGAGAGTATACAAGCGCTCGATGTTTTGTCAGAGGACAATCCGAAAATTTTGAATTAATGGGGACCACGGGGATTGGGGTCCGAACGGCTTAAAATAACGTCTCTTGAATCTTATTGACGGATTTACCCTTTCATATTTCAGATAATCCTATGCCGTATATGGTCTCTATTTAAAATTCAAATCCGTGAGGGACGATACCGTCTTTTTCCCGAATACTAGGAAATAAGGAAACCATGTTTCAGGAGAAGAAATATTGCCGGGGATACAAATGAGATTTCGGGCCCCTCTTTCTACGAAATGGCGGTTTCGTCCTTGACAGTTTTATTCGTTTTTTACTAAAGGGACAACTTTGTCCTTTTCTAAATTAAACAGGAGAGAGTACGCTCCTGCAAACTTTTAAAAGGAAAGAATTGACATGACATAAATGGATATGGACAAACTATAAGGAGTTTTTCGTCATTTTACAACGGTTTGGGGCTATATTTGGACAAAGTACAAGGATATACTGTTATCGCAAGGCTGAACTTGGCTGTTTGATAACGGCTGAAGTGGCTGAACTTAGTTACTTGTTACTTTGCCTTTTATAAATAAAATAAAAAATAATGAACACACAATCTTCTTAACAATTTATTGATTTAAAGAGATAAAACAATAAGTCATTTAGCTCTTATCTGTTTATTTTTCAATGTTGTGACTATCGGACTAAAAATCAAATGCTCCACTGTTTTTTTGGAGAATGACTGTTCAGTCCACCTTTAGAATACTTAGCCCATATACAGTTGGGGTAGGTGCAAGCTTGAAATTGATGCGGATTTAACATTTTGAATTGTTATAGGTGCACTGAGATTCAGAATTTTGTATTGGGGTACAATATACTTTTTTTCGTACTTAAACAGCCCGTTCAGCAAGCTGTGAAATCAATGATATCTTTTCATGCCAATAATAATTAAAATACATAGGACCCACAACCATTTAGAGGTTGTTTGGCACCGAGGCATTTTCACAAGTGAATTGTTTCTTGTAAAATTGGGAATGCCTCGGGAAATGCAAACAGTTGATTCTATTAAAAACACAAAAAAAAATGGAATGTAGGTTGATAGGTAGGGATGCAAACGGATTGAACTAGATTCGAATAAGGGTATATTTGAATCCGATTCAAAGATTCGATCGGATTTGATAGGACTCAATTTGAATTCGAATCCTATCGGATCTGATTTGATCCAAGTTGTTTTCTTTAAGGATTAATAAATTATTAAAAGAAAAATAAAATATGCCAATTTAAATAAAGAAAAAACAAAAAATACAAGTATTTTTTAATTATATTCATTGTATATATACATGTTTTTATAAAAAATAATTAATATATTATAAAAATACAATATAAATAATATATTTATAAATAAATAAAATAACATATATATGTATTATATATATTTATATTTATAATTATATGACACATCGGATCTTCTCGGATTAGATAGGGGTGATCTGAATCCGATCCAATCCGATATGAAGATTCGACTAGGGGCGATTCGAATTCGACCAAATAGGATCGGGTCATGATCCGATCCATTTGAACCCCTACTAACAAGGTGTTTAAAGTGATTTAGCTTATTATTATAATATATTTATAGTGACAAATGTATGGCATCTTAGAAAATAGTCAGCTTTTTCAATTTTCAATGTGCCACATCACCTTCATGATTCAAGATCACCAAGGCAATTCAAGAAAATTCAATTTGATGTTTTCAAGCAGTGTTTTTGAATCATCACTGACCCGGACAGTCGACTGTCAGCCCAGAAACCATCCAAGCAACCGGTTTTTTTTCACCCTTAATCCATTCTTGGGCCAAAACCCATTAACTTGGTCAGACAATCGTTGACCCCAGTGGTTGAATCGTCAACCCGTTCGACTCGGACAATGGTTCACAGGTACAACAGAAAAAGAGAAGATCATCTCAATCTGAGACAAGAACGATCTCAAATCTGAGATCCATGTACAATAGAGAAGAAGAAGAAGAAGAAGAAGAAGAAGAAGAAGAAGAAGAAGAAGAGCTAGATGACACCCCGACACCACGTAGGTGATGACTTGCCTTAGCCAAAATGATGGAGTCCAAACTAGCGACCTACCTCCACCGACCTAGTGACCTACCTCTGCCAACCTAATGGAGTTCCAACTGGTGACCTACCTCCGACAACCTAATGGAAACTCAGCTGGCGACCTACCTCCACTGACCTACTAGAGACCTGGCGACCTACCTCCACTGACCTACTGGAGACCTAGTGACTTACCTCCATTGACATGGCTACCTACCTCCGCCAACCTAATGGAGACCCATCTGGTGACCTACCTCCGCCAACCTAGCAACCTACCTCTGGAGACCTGGGGACTGACCTTGAGACCTACCTCCGTTGACCTAGAAACCTACCTCCGCCAACCTGATGGAGACCCAGCTAGTGACCTCCTACACAACTCGGGCAACTCAGCTGAGCGGCTAGAAGCACCTCGTCCAAGGCCAGCTTGTAGTACCTCATCGTTATCGGTCCAAGGGACCTTGGCATGAGGAGCGACCTCCACGAGGACTTGCCGACTTGACTGAGGTCCAGGTGGCAACTTGTGAGACATGCTTGCCGACCTCTTCCTTAAGCAAGTTATTGTTTCCGACTTCTCTAGGACCACGACGCTTGACCATTACACTCGTTTTTCCATATTGTCTACATCAGAGTTGATTGAATAGACTATCCCTCTCCTCCGAACATGGCGGACGCAATATAGGAAGCTCTCGGTTCCTTATGCCTATATAAAGGTCTCACTTCCAACCTCAGAAGGTATGCGCAACTTAGCTCTCTCGCTTTTAGCTCTCTCAAAAATTTCCAATTCGCTAACTTAAGCATCGGAGTGCCCACCCCAGGTAAAGTAGCCCGGGCACTCTGGCACTATCTCCCTATAGGTCCTAGAACACTTTACAGTACGCCATTATTCAGCTCAGCACCTGAGTGCCCTTTCAGCTCGACACTACTCAACTCGGCGTTCGAGTCATCTTCCAACAGGAAATTGTCTAGCTCGACTTCCGAGTCACCTGCCAATAGGGAGTTGTCAGATCGTGCATCATCAATTTTTAATGACAACTGTGTGACATCACAAAAAAGTAGTCAGTTTTTTCAAATTACCATGTCATCAGGGCGATTCAAGATCACCAAGGCAATTCAAGAAATGTCAATTTGACATTTCAAGAAATCCCTCCTTTGTAGCTTTTGTCTTGTATATAAATATAACTATATAAGAGAAAATAAAGGTTTGAATGAGAGAGATTTGAGAAAACTAAAACTATCTTGTATATAAATATTTAGGGATGTTAACGGCCCAAAGCACAATCAACACAACCCCAACCTAACTTGACTAATGAATAAGGAATATCAAACTTGACCAAACATATCTTGTATATAGCAAGGTTTTAAAAACGGACCCGGAAACGGAATCGTTCTAGACACTAGTTTTCGGGTCAGCGGTTCAATCGTTCGAGTCAAACAGTTCGAATGGTTTGAACATCTTACCCATCATATTGGATTATTAAGGTAAGATGCATATAAATATAACCATATAAGAGAAAATAAGGTTTGAATGAGAGATATTTGAGAAAACTAAAACTGTCAGCTAAAAGAGTTTAGAAGAAGGAGAAGGACTTGCAAGTTGCAGTAGCGACGATGACGGCGACTTACAACGGCGACGACAGCGACAGCGACGGCGATGGCGAACTACAACAGTAACAGTGGCAGTAATGGTGGCAAACTGGCGATGAAAGTAGATATGAGATTTCTTAGTCTTGGATCTCACTCTCTCTTACCGTCTCGTGCAAATCTGTCTCACGCATCTCAGATCTCTCTCATCGTCTCGCACGAGAGAGATAGATTTGCATAGATTTGAGATTTCTCAGTCTTAGATTTGAGATTTCTCAGTTTTTAAAACCTTGCTACAAATTGTTCTCCGGGTCAAATGGTTCAACAATCAAACCGTTCGGGTCAATAGTTTGTTGATTATTTCAACGATTTTTTACCAAAGACCGGGTTTAAGGTAAAACGAAACTGGTCACTTGAACGGTTTCTGATCCGAACAGTCCAACTGTCTAGGTCAACAACGGTTCAAAAACATAAGCATATGGTACACCTTTATTCCACCAAGCCTACATAACGTATATTTCAATATTGCAAATTTGTAATGCCGATTGAGAATGACTTACCCCGACCGGAATTATCATCCTTAGCAAGGTTCAAAGTATCAAGTGTTTTGATCATACGGCTCCATTATTTTATTTTAGTTTTTTTTCTTTAAATCTATAAAATAAAAGAAATTAATGTAAATTAAAAAAAAAACATATAAAGGATGATATCCTTTATTTCACCTTGAAAATTCATGTACCAGAACCAAAAAGGCTTCTTCATGTCCTGATCCTTTTTTAGAACCAGGGGCTAGCTGGTCTTAACAAAACCTACCCCTAAAAACAATAAGAACTAATTAAAAAGATGATTGAGGTATATCTGATATTGAGTTCGGATCTCCAGCCTACAAAACCCCTACCCATGCCTCATTATAGTTGTACATTAAGAACATCTCCCATGTTTGTATGTATTCATAGATAGATGGGTGTGGATAAGATGGGCAGGAGATCTATTTTTTTTTTTTTTTTATTTAACACAACACATTAAAAACTCACAGGGTAAGTGGTAATAGTGGGATTTGAATCCACATATCCGTTGGGACTACCCAGCCAAGCACTCTTTGGACTCGAAGAGATTTTCTCTTCGAGCCCACTAAAATTTTGACACGTTGATCGGTACTCAACTGGCCATCACCTACAACCGGTTGAAGCTTTATGACTAATAAAATATTTTTAAATAAAAAATTGAGGAAGAAAGAGTACTCGTGGTCTAGTATGAGCTCTGCTCTGATATGTGAGTAACACCACGACAACCACTGCGCCAACCGGTGAATCAACTCCGGCACGTGGTCGTTGAACAGTATACCTGAAACCTTTGGCACCGTGTC